TGCTGGGGATAGAACCCAGGGTGGACTCAGGGACTCAAGCTTGCTACATTTGCTAGGTAGGTACTCTAGCACTTGAGCTATTTCAAGCCTTTTTTTTTGTGTTGGGTATTTTTGGGATAGGGTCTTAAACTTTTTATACGGCCAACCCACAGTTTTTTAATGTATATTTCTCTTTCCTTAAGCTCAGATTTTCTTTTAGTTCAGGGGATACTCCATCAATTTGGTTCCTATGTCCATATGATATGACTATATTTTTTTCTGTTTGGACTTTCTCAAGTTTCATTTATTGAAATAATTTTAATCATTTCATTAAATTTAATACTTAAATATTTTTGCTGTCTTGGGGAGGGAACCCAGGACCTCACTTTTGCTAGCCAGTGCTCTATCACGAACTGCACCCCAAGCCCCCAAGCCGTGTGTGCAGGGGGAGGGGCTCATCAAGGCAAGGCAGAAGAGAAACAGTTGTTATTGTTATTATTGACCTTAAATCAAAATTAGTTTCAGGTTGGTGAGGTGGGACCAGAGCAGTGTAGGCATAAGGTGGTGAGAAGTTTACTTGCCCACGAGTGGCACAGTGTGAGGCTTTGCCTCCAGATGCTTCCTGTCATTCACTACATTTAAGTTTTCCTCATGGGTAATCTTCATTTAGTAAGAAAGATGGCTAGCATCCAGTGTTGCCAAATGCCCAGCACTGTTGAGTGGATGCTGTACATCCACTGCTTTAGAGAGTCCTGCAGACAGAAGTCCTGCAGGGGATGGCTGCTGGTCCTTTTCCTGCCTCTGTGCTCACTGCCTGACCACCACCTCACTCGCACAGACATGCACGTCAGTGCAACTACAAGACAAACTGGACATGTAAGAAGAGAGCATGTGCTTTGAATTGGTAGCACAGGTGCTACATGGTTTTATCTGACAGACCTGCTGGCTGGTCTCTTGCTCTGTATGGCGCAGGCGATGATCAAATGTTTGGAGTTAGAAGATGGCCCCGAGGTTCTACCCTTGTTCTGTTAGAGTGCATTAGCAGGGTTACTTAGTGTTAACCTTTGCTGGGTACTGCAGTTGCTATTGCTTCTAAAATTCCCCCTCAGATCATTTGGAGTGACATTCTTTCATTGTTGCTTAGTCTTTTGAAGTAGAGCTGAAAGGATGCTAGCTTTCCTTTTGCTGCTTGGCTGCTTTGGTTGTGTTGTGGCTCATGGTCAGGTTTTTGGCTCCTGGACTGTAGGAGATCGCTGTCTCTTGGTTGTGTGGTAATTGACTGCTTGCCTCTTTTGTTAGAGGCTGAGGTTGGTGACTGTTCTGATTGGTGTGCTTTGAATCCTAATGTGCTGTGTCATTGTGACTACCTGGGAAGGGAACCTTATCTTGTAACTGGCTGGATTAAAAAAAAAATTTTTTCCCCCCCAGCACTGATGAGATAGAGGCTGAGGATCAAGAGTTTTAAGACCAGACTGCCCACCTACTGGTGACTCATGCTTGTAACCCTAGCTACTTGGGAGGCCAAGATCAGGCCTCTCCAATTAACCGGACCAAAATGGAATTGGAGATTCTTCTCAAGCAGTAGAGCGTTGCAAGTGTAAAGTCTTGAGTTCAAACTCCAGTCCCACCCAAAAAAGAAAAAAAATATTTTTGCTTGGGCTGACTTTGAACTGGGATCCTCCTGATCTCTGCTTTCTGAGTAGCTTGGATTACAGGAGTGAGCTACCAGCATCTGACTCTATTTTGCTTTCTATCAGTATTTATCTTTCTGTTGTGGCCTGTGTGGTCTGCCTTCTGCCTTCTTAAACTAATAGCTGTAGCCCTGCTCGCTTTCCAAGCAATGAAGACACCCAAGAGTGAGTTTACCCTGCTTAGGTGTCATCACTTCTGGAGTATTTATTAAGAACCAGTTTCAATATTGCTAGTATTTGCTCTTTGATTGGAGTTTGAACTCTGGGCTTTGTACTTGCAAAGTTGACATTCTACATCTTTTATGCTCTGGTTATTTTGGACATGGGATCGTTAGAACTATTTGCCCTGGCTGGCCTCGAACCCTGATCCTCCCAGTCTCAGCCTCCCAAGTAGCTAAGATTACAGGTATGAGCCCCTGGTGCTCTGCTTTGATTGAGGTAGCTTCTGGTTTTCTTTAGATTTATGTTGAATCTTACTGTATTTCTTTGTCACTGCACTTGCCTGGATAATTTTCTTGGATCTGGCTTCAGATCACAAACTTTAGTTATATCTGTTATTTTAAATTTCAATGGCTGTGTTGATAATGTTCTTACTACCATTTTGGTCATTAACCAGCAGATTAACATATGATTTCATTCTCTTCCCTCTTTCTCTCTTGGCTGTTTTGGGGATTGAACCCAGGGTACATCCCCATTTCTTTTATTTACTTTTTATTTATTTTGTGGTCCTGGGGATCAACCTGAGGGACTCACCTGTGCTAGGCAAGCATTCTACCAATGAACCACACACCTTCTGCTCTTAATTTGATTCTGTTTTTGAGGCAGCATGTTACTATGTAGCCCAGGCTGGGCAGTCCTCCTGCCTCAGCTTCCCAGGTGCTGGGTTATCTGGATTCTTTTTTTTTTTTGGGCACTGGAGTTTGAATTTAGGGCCTACACCTTGAGCCACTCCCCCAGGCCCTTTATTTTGAATGCTGTCCTCCTGATAACCTGCCTCTGGAGTAGCTAGGATTACAGGTGTGAGCCACCTGCGTCCAGCCATTTGGATTCTTTCATGCATACTTCATGCTCCCTTTTAGGATCTTACTTGAGATTCTTTTGGGGGTCTGAGACAGGGTGTGTTCCTTCAGCATCTTGGGTGCATTCCTTGTATTTAGAATTTAATTTTGAGCTTACCTTTGCAGGATTGTATTTTCCACTGGAATCTTGGTGACTTGAGATGCAGAGATTCTTTTCTTCTGGAGTGGTGTTGGATAGGTAATAGGATTCCATTTTGCATTTTTAGGGCTTTTAGTAAAGAATCTCATGTTCTCAGGGGTCTCCTTTGCAGTTCAGTTGGGAATTGTTTGTCATGATCCCCTTCCTTAAAGTAATTCATGTAAGGATGTAGGGATGTTAGTTCCATCTGCTGATTCTTTGTGCTTGACACAAGTTTCATGTGAAAACAAAATCTTGTTCATCAGTGCATCAGCTGTATACACATACACTTGGTGGCTGCTTTTCCTGAGAATTGACCTCTTTATGTTGTGTTTTGTCTCACATCCTTTGGTGTTTATGGCTCTGCTGGTTCTCTTGTTACATCTTTGAGGGATATTTTGCATCATTTTTTTTTGTTTGAGATTTGTGGATTAGTAACAAGCAGATTTTATCTTCCATATGTTTCTTCGAACACTTAACATAGAATTACTTATAAACAGATGTGTTCACACACATGTTGAGTCATGATGTAAAAATTGATTGTTTTTTCTACTGTGATTATTCCCTAAAGGTGGAAAGTAGAAATACATTAAAACTGCATCAGGGTGGGGAAGAAAAACTGCATCCTGTTTTGGTTGGTGCTGAAGATTGAACACGCCTTGATCATGCCATACCTATATCCTACCACCGAGTTAAGGGCCAACCCCTGTGCCTCTTGTTTTGAGAAATGAAACATTGTTACATCTCAGCTACAAGCCTTAGGACAGTTAGACTCTGTGCATTTGTTTATAATCAAAATACTGCTATTTAAAACTCTGTAAAACTATTGTTTCTACAAAAGCTACAGAAAGCCTGGCTTCCATTTTGAGCAAAGTGACTTGATAGAATTTTTATTTTTTAAGGCACTGGATTTGAACTCAAGGCCTATGCCTTGAGCTTGAGGCACTGCCAGTGTATTTTGTGAAGGACTTTTTTTTTTTTTTTTTTTTTTGAGGTAGGCCTTGTGAACTGTTTGTCGGGGCTGGCTTTGAACTGTGATCTCCTGATTTCTGTCTTCTGAATAGCTAGGTGTGAGCCACTGGTGCCCAACTAGAATTTACTTTGTTGAAATTATTTTGTACTGTTGCGTGGAATAGGTGGTTTCTTCTCCCCCACCCCCTTTGCTGGGGATCAAAACTTATAGGCACCACTGTACCTGCTGAAGTATTGTGTGGTGGTCGTTCCCTCCCCCCCTTTGTTTTTTCCTGGCAATGCTGGGGATTGTTCTTGTGCATGTATTATTGAGCTATACCCCAGCACAGCTTTGTGTAGTTTCTTGATCCTTAGTTTTAATAAAGTGATTTAGGCAGTCAGATTTAAAGAAGCAAATTGGTTAAGGAACCTTACATCTGAAAATGGTAGCATATGTGCAGTTCCTGCTTGTTGGTGAGGCCAGAGGGCACAGCAGCCCCCAGCAGAGGTGGTGGAAACTATGTACTGCTCTGTGAAGGAACAGATGAACCAAGGAGTAACCCACAGGAGAAGTCAAGTAAGGCTCTGCTGCTGGTTTTCAAGTAAAGGCATCTAGCTAGTATCGATGTCAGGGCAGTGTTGTGTTGGTTTGAAGCTGAGAGGTGAAATTCCACCCCTTTTCTGTCTGGAGCAGTATGGGAGAGGTGTTGCCATTCCCCACAGGAGTGGCAGCTGTGCAGGTGTGCTTCCCAGGGCTGGGACAGTGTGTTCTATGGTTGGAACCCCACCGTCTTGCTCAGTGCCTGGCACAGGAATGAGTTGAAGGACAGAAGCAACAAGTTCCCTGAGGGCAGCCGGGTCCGAGATGAAGCCGCCCTATCTACTACCAGTCAAGTGGCCACTTAGTCTCCCTCAGAGCTCAGTCTCCCATTTACTTATTTATTAGTTTAGGCTGTTTCAGAGCTTTTCTCTCCCTATAGCTTGAAGAGTCTTCAGGGTTTTTTTTTTTCCCCCCAGGCATGAGTCTTGAAACCAATTCCCAGACAAGGCTGCTTCTTACAGGCCAGTGGCTAGTGAAGCTCTCTTTGGGCCAATATGTGCTGAGGGATCCTGCTCTCCTGCCCTGTTCTGACCCAACCGTGGCTGTCCCATCATTGACCACAACTTACTTTGTAATTGCAGGACTTGTTCCAACAATCTGTTAAAACATGGTGGATTACTATGAAGTTCTAGGCGTGCAGAGACATGCTTCACCCGAGGATATCAAAAAGGCGTAAGTAGTTTTATTTCTGAAATGATACATCTGCTAATTTTGTACATTCCCAATTGGATAATAAAACTTTCTTCTACATATTACATATAATATGAAAGGTCATATTAAAATAACCTTTCCCCCATTTTTTCTTTTGCAGTACTAGGAATCTAAGCCAGGCAGGGCCTCACACATAACAATACTAGGCAAGTGCTCTACCACTGAGTTACACTCCTAGCACTAAAATGACCTTTATGTAGCATGTACATGTTTGAATGCCACATAGATCCATTAATTTTAACTTCAGATAGCGGTAAATGAGTGAGCATTGTGTCTAGACCCGGGCCTAGTCCTGTCCTGTCCTGCTTGTTCTCCAGGTAAGGTTACCTGTTCACTGTCACTTTGCCTACTTAAGATGGCTGGATTCTCTGTCTACTTCAAGTACATTAAGAGTTTACTGAGAATCTGAAATAATCCCAAATAATCTTTTACATTGGACTTTGAGGTGGGGTTGGCATGGCTCTCTTTAACCCTCTCCCTACCTATTTCAGGGTGGGAACCAAACAGAGTACCCCTAACTTGTTTGGATTTTTGCTGGATCCCAGTCTGTGCTGTTTGGTGCACGCTAATTCACACATGCTTAAGAACTACTTCACTGCCCCTGCTTCTCTGTGACCAGGACAAAGTCCCAGGTCATAGGTGCCTCTGAAGAGAGGTAATCTGGGTCCACTCAGTTTATTTAGGCTGCATCCATGAGGAAGACTTTATGGAGAGCAATAGGCTAGAAGAGTTGGAATCAACTTTTAAAAATTAATACCTAGCTGGGCACAGGTGTAATCCTAGCTACTTGGCGGGGAGGGGGGGGGCTGAGAGGAGGATCGCAGTTTAAGGCTGGCTGGGACATCTCCAAAATAATCAGAGTAAAATGGACTGGAGGTATGGCCTAAGTGGTAGAGAGCCTGCTCAGCCCTGAGTTCAAGTCCCAGTACCTCTGGATGGAAGGAGGGTTTATTCCCTTGCAAGTGGAATAGCTAGAGAATATGCTTAGTTGGCATGACCAAGGCCCTACAATCCATCTTCAATACTGCTTTAAAATCATTTAGCTAAGTTAGGATGAATACTATGTTGGATGAATCTGGGGTTTCCTACAGAGAATTCCTGTTTTAGACTTCAGCCAGGAAACCAGTAGGCAGCCAGTGAGGAGAGACCAGGCAGGCTCTGGGGCTGGCATCAGTAGAGTGGGGTTTCTGACTGTGCTGTGTCAGAGCCTGTGACAGACACATTAGATTTGTACTGTTTTCACTAACTCCTGACAGTTAGCAGTCTGTAGCACTTGGTGGTAGATGGTGGAACAGAGACAATTAGAAATACTTTATTGTGCACAGTAATTTACTCCTGGTGTTACATGCTGTGTATTAGAGATAGAGAATATATTGGCTTTTTAGTTAGTTGTAGGTTGATTGTATCTGCAGTGTGGATTTAGAAAAGGCTACTTTTTAGGGATTTTTTTTTTTTTTTAAATGCACTGGGGTTTGAACTAAGGGCCTAACGCTCATAAGGCAGGCGCTCTTAACTGCACTTGAGCCACTCCACCCGTTAAGAAAAGGCTACTTTTAAGAACAACAAAATTTTCCTATTAAGTATATAGTAGTTTATTTATAGAAAATGCTGATTTTTTTTTCCCCCCCCCAAAATGTGAAAAAAATCTGTGAGGTGGTGCATATCTAGAACAGTCCCTCTTGTGGACTCTTGGCTTTGTGTGTGTGGCTGCCACCTCATTTCTTACCTGTCTGGAGGCACCCAGACTCTTTACCTCTGTTTGAATCGCAGGCTGGGGGCTTTCACTTGTTGGTACTGATGTACTGATATACAGGTTAGACAAGCCTGAAGGTCAGCATTATAAATAGTTGGCTATAATTTTATACTTACTCTCTTGTACTTTGTATTTTGTGGCTTCTCCACCCTCCTCCCCCGCAAAGTATAACCAGAAGCGTACATCATTGAATCTTGCCAGGGATTCCTACATATCATTTAGTTCTTGCCAAACACTGGGCGGTTGATGAGGGCCTTATTTCGGTTCTTAGATTTTGAGGGGCACATTTCCTACCGTGTTATTTATTTTTTGGTGGCACTGGGGTTTGAACTCGGGGCCTCAAGCTGAGTGAGCCACTCCATCACCCCCTTATTGTGATGGGTTTTCCATATAGGGTCTCCTGAACGACCTTCCCACATAGCTAGGATTACAGGTGTGAGCCACTAGCACCCAGCTCCCTTCCCCTTTTAATGCCATCATCCTTTTGAACATACACTGCTTATGTTTTGCTAATTAACTCCAGGATTGTAGTTAATTGAACCCAGAATCACATTTGTGCTAGTGTTCACCATTAAGTTACACTCCCAGCCCTGAAACTCTATTTTAATTTTTTTGGGTACTGAATCCATAGTAGAGGGGCTCTTTGGAAGATGCTGGGAGTCTGGTGTATGCCTTGTCAGATGGTTCATCACACTGGCCTACCTGCTAAGTAGTGGGTTAACTGAGTAAACAGAATATAGACACAGATAAGAACAGGCTTATTCCAGCTCTCTTATCCCCGTATCCATGAGTTCACATTGCAGACACTTGAATCCTCACACATATCAGTGTTTTCCTGTTTCTCGAGGTCATTGCGTTAAGTGTTTGGATTTGAACTTTATTTCATTCTCAAGAAAAGAGAGGCTTCACAACTAAAACCAGTACCAGCCTCAGTTGCCAACTTTTTTTTTTTTTTTTTTTTTTTGCTTTGCTTATATTAGTTTTTAAAGCCCAGTTTTCTGGGTTTTGTACGTGATCAGTAGTACTCTTTGCTTTTTTTTATTTTTATTTTTATTTTAAGATACCGGAAACTGGCGCTAAAGTGGCATCCAGATAAAAACCCTGAGAATAAAGAAGAAGCAGAGAGAAAATTCAAACAAGTAGCTGAGGCGTATGAGGTATTATCAGATGGTAAGTAGTGTTGAGCTTGTGAGGCTAAGTGGCTGAGTCAGAGTGGGTGGAGAGGGGCAGTGGGGCAGCAGAGTGTGGGCTCGTGAAGACTTGCTTTGTAACCAGCTGGCTTTGGGGATCCCTGAGAATATTCTTTTCTTGTGGAACCATGAGTGCTGAGGAGCACCTAGGCTACCTGCAGTTTCTCCTAAGGATCATTGTGAAACAGTAGCTTGCACCCTGGATCTGAGCAAGTGAGAAAGAGGTTGGGATGCAGGACTGTTTAGGTGGAGGCTGCTCTTGCCCCTGCTGGAATGATGCCTGGTCATCCTGACCTCAGGGCCTTGTTAATGGGTAAGTTTTATTACTTGAAAAGACTTCATTCTTGGGAAAGAAGGAATCTAAACAACTCAGATTTAGAATTCAAAACATCTACCTAAGGTAGAATTCTACCTTAGGCGTAGAAAACAGTCATCGGATGTCACTGAATCAGGCCTGTTGGTTTGGTTTCATGAGCCGGTAAAGGGCCAGCTGTTGGCGAGGTGCAGCCTGTGCTTCTGTGGTGAAGATAAGGCTGCCTGGACTTGGGTAGGATCAGTTCCAGGCTCTGGGAAAGTACTGCCCACATCCTGGGTGCTGCAGTGCTGGGTGGCCTGGGAGGAATCAAAGCAGAGGCATTTCAAAGGCTGGGTACTGATTCACTGGCCACAGGAAGTGGGCACACACTGCAAGTGCACTTGTGTGTGGTCAGGTAATAAGTAGGTCACAGTTTTTTTTTTTTTTAAATGCCTATTTTTAGAAGGAGCCCTGTGTAAGCGGAAGCACACAACCCTTTGCATTATTGTGTAGCACTGTGATGAGAGAACGCTGTCTATCCTTTCTTCTTAGGGGACTCCTGGACATCTTATTTCACAAATGAATTTCTGCTTCTGAAACATAAACACCAATGCTGAAATCTCTGAAAATACGACATTTAGCCAGTAGAGTAGTCTGTGTCTATAGCCTGAGCACTCAGGAAGTGGAGGCGGTAGAATCTCATGTCTGTAATCCAGCTCCTTGGGAGGCTGAGATTGGGAGGATTTGAGGTTTTAGGTCAGCCTGGGGAAATAAGTAGTTTGTGAGACCCCCATCTCCAAAATAACCAGAACAAGTACGGCTCAAGTGGTAGTGCTAAGTGTGAAACCCTGAGTTCAAACCCCAGCCCCACTCCTCCCCACTTCCCCCTCCCAAAGGAATAAAAAAAAGGTAATAAAACAAAAGCAAAGTTAAGGCAGCTTGAGTGATATAGGGAGGCTTTGGCATTTTGGTCTTAACTGTAGTTGAGCTGAAGTGCTGGAGGCTAGGCCTCAGGAATCCATTCTTGTTGAGAGACTAGGTCATTTCATGCTCAATTAGGGTTGAGCACTAGGCCAAAATTTCCTAGAAGAAGGAGAACCATTAAACTCATGCAAGGTCTGGTCAGCTCCTTGGAGAGTGAGTGCCATTTTTTTACCTACCCCTAGGCAGCCTTCTGCCACCACTGGAGTTACTTCCAGAGCTAGGGTTATTGTTCCCAAGAGGGTCCGGTTAACCTAAAACTGGGTGGTTCCATATCTTCTCCCCATTTTGTGTAATGAGGTTCTTGGGGAATATAGCAGGTGGCATGCCAACAGCAGTACTGTATCCTGCAAAGCCATGCTGTGACTGTCCTTGTCTGGAAGTGTGAATGCAGCAGGGTCAGCAGTGCACAGACCAGTGCATGTCAGGCAGTCAGGCTCCTTACAAGAGCCCTGGGCCTTGTTGGACTGGAGGACTGGCTCTGTTTCTGCTGTTGGCACATGGACTTTCCACCTACCAGGGCACACACTTTATCTTTTGCTGGACATGGGAGTAAGAAGGTTTACTTCTGAATTAGGAACAGATTTAGATATGAACACATGATTTTAACCAATGCATGGGCTCTGGTGCTAAAGTGAATAAATGAGCTAAAGATTGCATGTTTGTATTTCCTGAAAGTTCATAGTACTGTTTCTCAAATTGTCTTTCAGGAAAGAGGTACATAAGATTCCTTTTCTGCTCCCAAAACTGATACCTGACTTACAGCATGGGAAATGTTTATTGAATTTTGAGGATTTGAAATGGACTTAATGACTTTTCTTTTCCCTTCAAATTTACAGCAAAAAAACGGGACATCTATGACAAATACGGCAAAGAAGGATTAAATGGTGGAGGAGGAGGTATGTAATTTTTTTGTTCTTGTCTGAATTAGAAATTAACGAGTCTCTTGGACCGAATTTGGTAGGATGGAGAAATCGACACTTAAAAAAAACAAAGAGAAGCTGGGTGTTGTTGGCTCACACCTGTAATCCCAGCTACTCAGGAGGATCGTAGTTCAAAGCCACCCCATGCAAATAGTTCGTGAGACCCTGTCTCGAGAAAAACCTTCACAGAAAGGGCTGGTGGAGTGGCTCGAGGTGTAGGCCCTGAATTCAAGCCCCAGTACCACAAAAGCTAAAAAGTGTTTTAATAAAGGACTGATGGAGCAGCTCAAGTGGTAGAGCACCTGCCTACCAAGTGTGAGGCCCTGATTTCAAAACTCCAGCACCACAAGAAAATAAAAAAAGTTTAGAGTTCAAACCTACGCTGGGTTATGTATCAGCCCTGTCTCAAAAAACCCCAAATAAACCAAAAACCACTTTTGTCAGACTGAAATGTTGAGATATTTATTGTAAGTATAAAATAACTTCCAGCCTTACTTCGATGGTCATGCTGTGAGGCCAGTAACAAGTATTAAGCAAATGTGTGTTTAGGATTTAAAGTTTTAGGATCTAAAGCTAAAGAGTGTGTGTGTGTGTTGCAAAAAGCTCCCAGGGGACTCGGTTGATGGACAGCTTCATTGTGGGCTCGCTTCCCGTGTTGAGCCCACATGGCCAGGTTGTGGAAAGGTGGTCTGAGTGAACATAGTCTTACTTTCATAATCTTCACAGTGAGGAACAACATCGTGTGTTGACGACAGATTTGGAGATGGTACGTGGTAGTAAACGTCCAGTGTTACGACCTTCCGGTCTGAGTACTGTTTGTGGTCAGCTCTGGGCACAGATACTTTCAATTAATGTAGGGCCCAGTTTGCATTTCAGAGACTCCCAGATAGATGAAATTTTCAGGATGTATATAATGATGCATAAACAAGTAATTGTTTATCTAAAAATACCAGAAATGATAAACTAAACTATGTGCATATTTGTGTAGGTGGAAGTCATTTCGACAGTCCATTTGAGTTTGGCTTCACATTCCGGAATCCAGACGATGTCTTCAGGGAATTTTTTGGTGGAAGGGATCCATTTTCATTCGACTTTTTTGGTAAGTCATGTTGCTGGTGGTCTGCTTGGTGTGTGTGTTGTTTCTGTAGCCCTTGGTGGCCCTTTCTGTTTAACACTGTGTCATGTTATTAACCTTTGTTTAAACAGCAGAGGAGCAGTCAAACTTTTTATCTCTTTTCTGAAGAGTTTTTTTGAATATGACTGGAACATTAAATAATAAAGGTTTAATGTGTTCTTTATCTTTACAGTGTATGGTCCTAATTAACTTGCTTTAGCCCTCAGATAAGACCTTGGTGTGAGGATAGGGCATGGGTGATTGGGATTTTGGTGGGGGGGGGTCTTGGGAATGCTTTTTCCTTCTCTCTGTCCTGTCCCTGTCCCCGCCCCCCCACCGCCTTGTGCATACTAAGGTTGCCTCTTTCACTGAGGTACTCCCTAGCCTCCACTCTCACACAGGAGTTTCCATATGGATTGACCATGAAATCTTGTTAAAAAAAAACCACTAAGCATCATAGAAAGCTGTTAAGATATTTGATCAGTACACCTGTCCATTTCTAATTGTGTTCAGAGTAGATTTCAAAGTTTGTGAGGAGAGGTTACTTACAGAGAAAGGCAGCAGAAGTCAGAGAGTAGTTTTGTCAGAGGAGATAGTGTTGGTGTAGCAGCTGCTGGATTGTGGGGAATAGGGTATTTTCATCCTGCTTCTCCATCCTGGTGCCTGATCCTCAGTCACAGGTGTCTTGTCAGTGTTCTTGTAGCTGTCTGCTGTTAGGACTGTCTCCTCGTTGCTCTGAGCCAGTGTGCTGGGTAACATGGGAGGTCAGGAGCGGACTTGTGCTGCTGCCGCCATTTTTGTCTTTTGTGCATTAAGGAGGAAACACATCCTGTGTTTGCCTCCTTACTGCCTTGGAGTGTGAAGAGGAGGGAAGAGCAGTTGTGCCTACCAGTAATAACAAAGGAGAACAAGTGGAGCCCCTGCTCATCGTGGGCTCAAAGAGGAACAATTTACCCCTGGATCTGGTAGGTATTGGGCCTTGTATGTGGTGTAATCCTTCAGTTGATGTTGTGGGGATTCTGAGATTTCTTTGCTGTGGTACAGAATGACTTTGTACCTTGCCAAGGAAGGGAAGGACAGCAAATGTGAGAGTATGTTCATGGATAAAAGGAATGACTGAAATGAAGTGGGAGGAACTTGGTGAGAGATGGAGAAGGGGACTGATGTTTGTTGTTACCATAACCGCAGTGTGTATTGTAAAGGCTCTCTGCAAATAGTAAAGGTGGTGACACTCAAGGTTTGAGGTTTTGGAGCATTTTTGATTTTCAGATTAGTAATACCGTATTGGTAAATTTTATGTGCAAACAAAACAAAAATAAAACAAACTGCTTCTGGCCCCTAAGCACTTCAGATGAGAAATACTTAATCTGTACCGAGTATGATGTGAAGTAGAACTACATTTATATCTTTTATTACTTGATCCTCATAGGCAAGATATTTTACTCTAGGAAAATTAATTTGTTTTCTGTCTCTTAAACAATTCTAGCAATGTGGAGTCTTTAGTAAATCCACATTGGCTATGCGGCAGGGCAGAGTGTATTCTATGGATGAAGAAAAGGCATGCCCTCTGGCTTCTTGGTTCTCAATTCTAGCACTCCAGCCTCTTTGTGTCTGAGGAGGCCAGGTTTCTCAAACATGACAAAAAGAAAGGCCTGGTGGAGTAGCTCAAGCGGTAGAGCGCCTGCGTAGCAAGTGTGACACCATGAGTTCAAACCCCAGTTTCTCCCAAACCAAAAAAAAAAAAAAAAAAAAAAGTGGGTGTGGTGGTTCATATCTGTAATTCCAGCAGGAGGATTGACAGTTTGAGGTCAGTCTGGGCAAGAAAACGAGACCTTGCCTTAACAACCCTCCTTTCCCCTGACAGAGGTGGGGGCTGGGGATGTACATAGCTTAGTGGTTGAGTGCTTGCGTAACTTTCCTGAAGCTCTGGGTTTCATCCCGACCACAGCTCCGTAAAGTTTTAAAAGAGAAGAGGTTTGTATACCCAGTGTTCTTTTTTCCTGGGGAAAAACAATTTCAAAGGTGATTTTCCTTAAGCAGTCGTATGGAACAGATAGAGGTGATAATTAGGTACTGCCTCTAGTCCAGGAGATATTGGTTCACAGGAACTCAGCTCTCAGATGCTCCATCCAGCTCAGGAGTATGTTCTCAGGTTTGAATAGCGGGCACTTCCAGCATCCCACGATGAGCGTGGTCGTGACACATCTTCACTCCATTCTTGTAGGTGTTGTAGGTGACTTCCATTTTCAGGCTGTAAGGATTTACGCACAGGAAAAGAAGCTGCTCCATGGCTACTGCGTGTATGAAGTGACTGTGCAGCCTGCTGGCGGTATGTGCAGCATAGAGAACACTACGGGTTCATGTCCGGCACCACCCAAATCACCCAGTCATTTAGATGTCCAGCACCACCCAAAACATTTAGATAGCGTGGCCAATATCTACTGTGGCAAATTATTTTCAGTCTTAATTTTCCCCTCCTCTCCTTTGGCTTTCAAAGAAATAACTCAAAATCTGTTGTAAGGAAGCTGGGCTCAGTGGCATTAGCCTGGCTAAGACAGGAGGATTGAGAGTTCAAGGCCTGCTCATGCTACATAGACTCCCAGGTCGTCCCTCCACACCCCCCACCACTTGTGGAATTTGAGATCCTGCTCCTCAGTTGATAGGATGGAGGTGGACCTCAGAGCCAGAAAGCCGGGTCAGGATGAACCCTGGAATCCTGCAGGAGGTGAACCACCCTTGACACCCTGAAGGCAGTAGCTCTCCCAGAAAGGGTAGCTCTGAAGTGGAGGCAAGTCCTCAGAATGTTTAAGGCTAGCTAGCTTTGTTATATTCTTTACAGAACATGGAGCACATGTTAATGAGCCCTTGTCAGAATGCTCATTGGAAATGTTGAGGGAGTGAGCTGCTTTAGGGTAGTCTCTTCATGTGCCTCTGTCTCAGGATATTTTAGGCCTTTTGATCCCTTTAGAATCATGGTAAGAATTACCATTTAGGACAATTGGCTGGGTATAATTTTAACAGTTTTGTTTGTATTTTCACTACAGAAACCCAAAACTACATTTGAAAAACCATTTCCAGGGAGCCTTTTCATTTTAGCACTTGGTGTATTTTTGCTTCATAAAAGCATCAGTCTTGGGAGCCTTGGTGAAGGAAACAGCTAGTATAAGCAATGGAGAAATCCTGTGGTGTGGAGAACCAAGGAGCAGACTTTGGGAGGAGGTAGAATGTGTGGAGGGTGAAAATAGCATAATTTTTCTGAGCCATAAATTTAATGTAGTGAGTCAGTCATTTTACTTCCCAGGCTTCGAGGAAGTGGACAGTGAGGACTTGGATCCTAGTGAAGAACTAGACCAGCCCTGTTTTGAGGAGACAGTAGAAGACGCTCCAAGTGAAGAGAGCAGTGAGGTTTTGGATGTGATATCCAGTGAGGAGCTGGATCTCTTTAGTGAAGATGAGCCAAGCGAAGGCTATAGCTGGGGCCAGGGTGAACTTCTCAGTGAGGACCTGGACCTCATATCCAGCGAGGAGGAAGCCAGTCCCGGGGACTCGGAGGAGCTCAGCGAGGACTATGAGGAGCTGCTGAGTGAGGAGGAGTACAGTGGGCCGGAGCCGGAGGTGCTGCTTGTTCAACAATAAACTGTAAAAGGAACTGCCCTGGGCCTCTTATAAGAAAATTTAGTTTACTTAATGTTTATCTAGAATAAAGAAGTTCTTCTGTCACCTCAATACTGTACTGGACCAGATAAGCATAACTAAAGGAAGCAGGGAGGGTTATCCTGTAGGCCAGCTGTACTGTAGATAGCCTTCTCTCAGAAGGCGGAACGTGCAGGCCCTGCAGTGGTGTGATCGCTGAGTTTCCTGGGGCTGTCGTAACCATTGGGTTTAAACACTGGAAACGTCCTCTTGTGCTGGAGGCTGTAAGTCCAAGATCGGGGTGCTGCTAGGGTTGAGGGAGGATCTGTCCCAGGCTGCTGTCCAGGTTCTAGTGACTGCAGACAGACCGTGGCTACAGATGATTTTCTTGTGTATTTGCAGATCCTGCACAATTTCCCCTTTGACAAGCGCACCAATGTTGCTAGCTTAGGGCCTGTTCTGGTGACATCATCTAACTTGATCATCTGCAAAGACTTTTTTTGTGTGTGCTGGGATTTGAACACAGGGCCCCACACCTTGCTAAGCTGATGTTTTATCACTTGAGTCACTTCACCAGCCGGCCCCCCACCCCTTTTCTTTAATTTTTATTTTATTTATGTGTGCATACACTGTTTGGGTCATTTCTCCCCACTTCCCCGACTCCCACCCTTAACCCCCGCCCCTCCCTCTTCCCCCCTACCCCCTCGCTACCCACCAAAAACTGTTTTGCCCTTATCTCTAATTTTGTTGAAGAGGGAGTATAAGCAGTAATAGGAAGGACCAAGGGTTTTTGCTAGTTGAGATAAGGATAGCTATACAGGGAGTTGACTCACATTGATTTCCTCACCAGCCCTTTTTTGCGTTGGGTAGTTTTGAGATAGTGTCTCTTGAACTATTTGCCTGGGGCTGGCTTTGAATATGATCCTCCTCCTGATGTCTGGTTCCTGAGTAGCTAGGATTACAGGCGTGAGTCACTGGTATTCAGCTGAGACTTGTGTTTTCAATAGGACTCCAACATCTCTTTGGAGGGTGTCACAATTTAACCTGTCAGATACTCTTTGTAACAGAGTTGTTTAGGTTTTTGATTTGGAAGCTAACCGCAGACTTTGACAGGTGAAAGTGGGGGACCTTTAAAGCTGGGCATGTTAAAAGGAGCTGAAAGTTATAGAAAGTGTTAATGCAGAGATGGGAGAAGCAAAGCAGATTGGTTTAATCCAGCATGTGTATTTGTGTCCTGTACCTTGCAGTGTCAAGGGACTGTGTTACTGTCATTCATGTTGGTAGCAGATACCTAAACTGCCACAAGGACAAAGATCCCCTTGGTCCTCCCCCCTCCCTGCCCCCCATGAAAT